TTGCAAGCTACACCTGACAAATTAATTGAAAATGGAGGGGGACAAAGTTTCCTTCTCATTAACATAAAGGAGAACACAAGCCCTGTGATTCTTAATCCTTTGTGAGGGCAGACAGTATTGAGATAAAGAATAGCTAGCAAAGTACATACAGCGTTTATTATGGTAAAAAAAGAACTCCCAGTCCCGACCTTAACATAACTGTAGAAAACTCCAGTCTAAACGCAAGTAAAAAAATAAGGAGACATTTAATATTTTTTCTTTAAAACTGACATTTAGGTCTCGTTCACACCTAGGCGTATTGCATATGCGCGTCTGTCGCACTTCTTTTACCGCAATTCGCGTTTCCGAAGGCTACTTGGCTGTATCCCAATGGAAACGCGCAACATAACGGCCCAAAGTAGTACCTGTACCTACCTTTTCAGGCGTGGGCCGTTTTGTAGCGCGTTAGGGACGGGCGGAAATACGCCAAGGTGGGAACGAGACCATTGAATACAATGGGATTTATATTTTTGAGCGTTTTGTAGAGCGTTCGTCGAGCGTAGATTGCGCTACAAAACGTTCAGGTGTGAACGAGGGCTAAAAGGAGAACTATGAGGTGAGCGATTTCCACTCATCCTCATAGTTGGAGCCGACCTGTGACAAAGAAGCTGTCACAGGTCAGCTCTATTGACCTGGAAGTGAGCAGAAACATGCACCAAGCCGCTCACTAAAAAAAATACAAGCACGTGCATATCTTTCACTTTTGTGTAATTTACCATTTCACAAGGAGATGGACTTGGGAATAGATTTGTGCAATATCTTACAACAGGAAGAGTGCTTCACAAGTAATCTGCTTAATGACTTTTTGGTTCTGAAAAGCTCCAGAAATTGTTTATTACATAGCTGTACACTCTTTTACACAAAGGAGTTTGTAGGCTTACTTGTTTTGGGATGGAAACTTGCAGCATTGCTAACAGATGAAAGAAATCAAAACAAAATATAGGATGTGTATGGGAATAGACTTACTTTTTGGCATATCTCCAGTACTTGATGCAGAAACGGTTCTGCTCCTATCTTGGCAAGAGCTACTTTCATCTCTCTCTATCACTGTAGAATCCTCAGAAGCTTCAAACCCAGATTCCACAGACTCCAAAGGTCCAGAAAACATTGCAGAAGAGAATTCAGAGAACTGTAATTCTGCATTCTTATGTTGTCCATTTGGCAATTCACTGTTACACTGTTCATAAGAGCTACTATATGTGCAATCACTTTCTGCATTTGACTCATCTAAGTTAAAGTCTTCTGGGTTGGGGCAGTCTTCATCCTCTTCATCTTCATCATCTAATGGCTGTTCCAGAGAGAATGGACCATTTTCTAAATGGCCATTCGTTTTGGGAGACTCAATCCATGTTGGATCTGTGTTAAAAAGCTCCGGGTCTACATCATCGTCTTTTTCAGTGTTTTCTTTTTCTGTGTCTTCCTTTTCATCATGATCTTCGCCATCAGAGGAGACATTACCTGCTAAAATGAAAACAAAATTCAAAAGTCTAAGCACTACAATAATCATAAGAAAATTTCAGGCAAAACAAAAAAAGTCAAATCACACACTGGCCATATACAAAGATTTTTACCACTGGCCTCTTTTAAATGTGCTGCTTAGTAGAAAAAAGTAACATGCCACAAAGTTTTTGTCTTATATATATATTTGATCATTTTAAGCAGCTAAATCACTTTTTTTTTAACCACAATAAAATGATAGTGTCCTTGTTAAATGCACCAATGGACTGATTACCAAAAATGGGGAAAAGTACAAAACATGGGGTTGTAGCCAGGTTTCCCCTAACATTTTCTGAAAAAAATAACCCTGATTGCTTACTCAAATCACCACATCCAAACAATGGAGAGAAGTTTCCTTTGTCGCGAATTAGATCCAAAACAGAGCGATGGGAGAACAATGTCCTAGTTGATGGGAAGGACAGAAACTACCTTTGGCAAAAAGGAAATCCCAAGCCTCAACATCACCTGGTCCCTATGCACTGATTTCATGGAGGTGATGGCTAAAATAAAACAAAAAAACACCACCTTGTGGGTTAAAATAGAAAGAGGAATGTCTCGAATGAGTTAAAATGGTGATCTCTGAAGTGCAGAGAGAATTTTTTAGATTCCACAGGATCACAGAGGAATAGACAGGGGAGCTAGACAGGAGAGTGCCCCTATAAAAAGGTCTAAATCAAGGAAGACCAACCTTCTTTGAAGCAAGATAGACCAGGCCAAAACCTGGCCCTTGAAAATGCTCAAAAGTGAGAGTCAAACGTGGATTCCTTAAAAAGGCAGGGCCATTAACTGGTATTGTAGAAAGGCATATTTGCTGTCCACAGAAGTCAGAAATTCTCTCTGGTGAGGATAGACAATAACAGATATGGTGGATTCCATGTGGACTTTCTAGATTCAAAATGAAGAAATTCAGATCTTTGAGGTTGTTGGAACGATGAAGAAGTTGAAGTAAAAACCCTTGAAAACATCCTGTCTCAGGAACTCGGGCAATGATACCGTGATCCAGAAGACCAGAAGGGTTTCAATGAAGATGTAGTGGGGAGCAAGACTCCAGTCTGTAACCTGGGATGCCATCTCGTACACAACCAATCAAAATTCTTATTTAATATTTCCATTTGCAGCAAGGCTTAATGTCCAGTGGCAAAGCATTCAAGGAACATTTTAGCTTTAATCTTGCCTAACAGCAATGTATATTATAAAACCTGTTTGTGGAAAGCAGCAGGAAAGCTGTGTGAGCTCCTGCATGTGCAAGCTCCCTACTGAATCTGTGTCAAACAGTCAGAAAGCAGGAGGGGGCTGGAAAAGTAAACAAAAAGCATTTCCCTTGTGTGTTCACAGTAGAAAAATAAAGAGGAATGCTCCCTCAAGTGGCCAACTTGTGATGTACATAAGCAAACTTAAAAGAGAAATTAACTCCTCACACAAAATGGGCAATGAACTACAGATGCTACTGTAGTAAATACCAAAAGGTAGCCACAAAACTTAAAACAGAGGGCCTCAACCTAGCAAAAGCCTGCTAGGATGTATTGTGGAGACTGTGTTAAAACACCTCCCGATAACACACAACAGAGCTTTTGTAGTAGGAAAAGAGAGCAGCAATCCATGTTCTCAGACAGCAGCTTCAGCCGCAAAAGAACCTGCAGAGCATGTGAAGATGTACTAGTTGCACAGGTGAGTGTGTGCCGCTGTTGCAGGAAAGAATGAGCAGAGCACCAACACACATGCGTTAGTGGATGCCTCTCATAGATTTAAGAGCCAGCAGAGTGTCCTGGCCGCAATGCAACACGCTGACTAGCTGTCAGCACAGAAACATTGCCCAGCAATAATAAAAGGGTACACAATATTCAGCCACAAGTGGCAATAGTAACAAAGTGATGTCTTCTCAGGTAATGCTGCATACAAGACAGCCCAGTACAGTAATACGATATACCACAGCCCTAATCCAGACACTTAACAAAAAAATTCCCAAACAAACACTGGCCTAACCTTAAAACATAGAATACTATGATAGCTGGAACACAGAAGCGGTTGTCATTGCTAAGAATGCAGGACGAGCCCAGAGAACATCTGTATGGAAAAAACTGGACTGGATAGACTACCAGGATTAAACATATCCAACATGAATCTACAATTGCGTGTTGGCTGACTGGATAGGCTTCCAGGACTTTAAATATCTGGCATGAATTTACCAACTAATGATAGTAGAAAATCTCACAGAACCAGGAACACCAGTGCTGAAAAAAAAACAAAAAACACTTTCTCTGAGGACACCAACAAAATCTGAGGCATAATAGTAGTTGTGGGTGGGGTTATCCTGCGCTGCCCAATGGCTTTTTTTTGTTGCCAGTGTCCATTTCTGCTGTGCGCAGCAGTATAACCTGACAGAATACCTGTGTCCCTTAATGCAGTGGTCCCCAACCCCCGGGCCGCGGCCCGGTACCGGTCCGTGGATCAAATGGTACCAATGGTATCAAACGGGGGCGCTGAGAGCGGGGGGCAGGGAGCGCCGAGAACAGGGGGCGGAGACGGAGCATGGAGCGCTCAGAGCGGGGACAGAGTGTGGAGCGCTGAGAGCGGGGACAGAGCGGGGGTGTGGAGTAGTGACAGGCTCTGTCACCTCCCTCAGCGGCTGCTGCTCGTTCCTGTCACACAGGAGTTCTAGCAACAGTGCCTGCTAGAACTCCTGTGTTGGAGGTGACAGGTTGAATAAAGTGTACCTGTCACCTCCAAATGTTATCACACAGGGGATTTGTTAACCCCTGTGTAATAGCAATACAGTTAAGTTTAGAAATAAATAGTTAAAAAAATATATATATAAAAAACGTAACAAAATAAAAAAGGTGATAAAGTAAAAATAATAAAACAAAACAAAAATACCAAATATGATATAATAAGTCTTTACTGTTTGTGTTCCTCAAGCTTTAAATCATATTTAAATATAGGTCCTATGTGCAGTGCTCTATCGGTATGTCGCATTAGCAGGGCTATTATCCAAATTTCAGTGTAATAACAATACAGTTAAGGTTAAAAAATAAATAAAAAATATTAAAAACGTAACAAAATAAAAATGTAAAAAATAAAAATAATAAAACAAACAAAATGTTTCCAAAGTAAATAAAAATTGAATAAATGAAAACCAGCCCCGCTGCCCCCATCTGCACGCGAATAAACGCGCAGTGTTTTCAACTGCGATTGTGTGCAACCGCACGGGCAGGGTTGTATTGCAGCAGGAAAACGCTCAATCTGCCTGGCATGACTGTGGTGCCATTAGAAAATAATGGCAATGACAGCACAAATTAAAATTATTAAATCAAAACAATCTAAAATATAAACAATCAACGTCCCCCCTCAGCGGGCCGCGGTAAAATTATCAAACGTTGACCGGTCCACGGCGATAAAAAGGTTGGGGAGTACTGCCTTAATGGACAGGAAAGAAAATGCCATTTGTGACTTTGAATTTATTGATACAGCAGTATGATACAAGAAATCCTAGCAACTATAAAAAAAATAAGTCAAATACATTTCTAAAAAAAAAAAAGTTAAGACATTAAAATATGTAAAAACAGGCATCGGAGACATGCATCTAAAACATCAAGCAAATCACATCTGTGGTAACAACACATCACACAAACCCCTCTCATCATATACCCACCATCCTCGTTGACTGGTTCCTCATCAGCTACATCTTCTAGACATACTGTCTTCAGCTTGGCTTCTGGCTGGCTTTCAGCATTCTGCTCATTCTCATTTTCTTCACTTTTTTTCCGCTCCGCTTCCCGTTCTAACTCTTCAATTTCCTGAAGACGCTTTTCAAGTAACTCCGCTTGTCGCTTTTGCTTCTTCTTCAGTTTTTTCTTTTTGTTTTTTGAAATTTTTCCAACCTGTGAAATGCACAAAAAAGTATTTATATTTACAGCGTTTAAAAAAATAAAGGTGTGGGGGAATAAACACATTGGGAGTATAACTTTACTGATAATGTTCCCTGAATAAGTTGGACTTGGTTTCAGAACAGGAGCTTTGAGGGCTAGTTCACACCAGATGCAGTTGTGATGAGGTCCGTTCAGCTTGGCAGCTGCATCAAAATCGTGTCACAATACTTTCCAGTGGGATTCCTGGTGCTCTGTTGACACCAGTGCGGTCCGCTCTGATGCACTGCTTGTGCAGAAACAAATACTGCTCGTCTCATTTTAGCTACACCTGATCGCAACGGAACGCATCAAAATGCATACAAACGCACTGGACTGCACCTGAAAGCCAATTTTAAGTTTTTTAAAAAAAATTAACCACACTGCAGCCATGCAGGCACATGCAGTTATGGTGTGAACTAGCCCTCAGAGAACTTCTTAGTGCAAGAGGGAGACCACAATTTCAGCGTGGAAGGGCAAGTACTGAATTCAAGAGATTTGTTTATGGTTAGAGGTTAGGTTGGGCTAATGTTTAAACTGAGGATTTAGTAGGCTATTAGGGCCTGTTCACACTATGCACTGAATTAACACAGCGTGTTGTATTCCCAAATGCACAGAATATTACTGGATATTGAGTTCTTATAGGTATATTAAACATCAGAGATTGATGATCCAGGGAATATCCGATTGCCTTATGGGGTCAGTAAGGATTTTTTTTCCCCCCGTTGGAGCAAATTGAACCATGCTCAATAGGGTTTTTTTTTTGCCTTCCTTTGGATCAACAGTGGGTAACTGTGAGCATAGCGTTCTGTTTTTTGTTTTTGTCCTTATCTGTGTAGGTTGAATTAGATGGACTTGTGTAGTTTTTTCAACCTGACTAACTATGTAGCTATGTTTTCTATATTAAGAAGTGCTGCGATAAGTTAACCCATTTTCAGCTAAATCTTAATGCAAAAAATGTGCCTGCTGTATTTTCGGAAACACAGCGTACCACAAAACTCGCTATGTGCGTTGTAGTGCACAACACAGCAGGCGCATTAGCAACTACTCTACAAGGGGGGTGGGGTGCCATTCTGAATGAATAGCACCACATTGTAATGCGCTGTGCATAAACAAACAACTAGTGTCAATGGGCACTTAGGGTGAATCGTAAAGTTTTAGATTAAATATTAAAGTTAGAATTTGAAGTTAGTGTTAGGCTCAGCATTAGAATGAAATTACAGGGACAGGATATATGTGTGGAAACATCACAGTTCTATTTTTTTAGCACTACAAAAAACAAAAAAAAAAACAAAACCAGTAACGGTAGAGAAAACAACATATCAGACAATAACTTTCATACATAAATTTCAAGTCCCAACTTACTACCTGCTTTATGTCTCTATTCAAGTTAATGGTTTTCTTTCTCTCTATCTCAACATGCATTTGTATCAATAATGTTAAAAAAAACCATATTTGTACACTTCAGCCTCCTCAAACAATCACCTTGTCTTCTTCCCTACACCTCTAGACTGCCAAAATCCAACTGCA